GAGAATGACTTAATGTTTTGGAGAATGGAAGTGACTGAAATCTCCTCAAGGAAATGTAAAGCAAAAAAAAAAAAATTCTTTCTCTCTTATAAGATATATCTCTGATATAAAGATTTCAACAAGAAAATTAATTTTTCCTTGTTTTGCACTTAATCTGTGTACTGAATTTCTTTGACTATTATAACCTGAGAGGAAAATAGGCAGTGGATACCGATGAACAGTTCAACTGCAAACATAAGCCAGTAAACAGCAGTTTCCCAAGATTTAAGGAGCAATATCTTGACTGTAATGACTGTTACCGCCAATATCTCTCTACCCCAAACACTTTTAATTGCTTTTAACGAGACTCTGAATGTGACAGTGCATTTCCAGTGGCTTAAACCTAATCTTTCACTCATGTTATACTTGGAATGATAAATCAGGAAGCCAAGTTTGAATTCTAGTCTGGTCTATTACATTCCCTTACACACAAATACTCTTGGGAAAGATATGATTTCATCTTCTCTTCTCAGCTATGGGTTAAATATTATGATTTGTATCCCCCCCCCAAATATTCCAAAAATGTGTTTCGGTTTCAAATAACTCACAAAGAGTGAGAAGCCATAAAAAACAAAAAACAAATCAATCAATCATTCTTGTTAAACTTAAACTCTCATAGTTGTCCACTTGCTGATATACTGTTTCTTGGATGTTTTCAGATAAATGTTGCTATTTCAGGACTGGAATGAATTCCTCTCTGCATTCATTGAATGTCGGGACTTGACCAATTGCAAAGACACTATCCTTTGGACCTTTTGGGTAAATTCTGCAATTTCAAAACTGGGTTGAATTGTGGTCTATATTCTTATTTAGCAATTGTTGTTTCCATGGTAAATGTTCAAACAAGCTATGTTGCTTAATTCCTCCAGTTCAGATCTTCACAGCCAGGACACACCACGTCACAAATACAGGGTCACCTTATCTATATTCCCTTCATATTCCATTAGTAAGGAGTAAGTTTCACTCAGATATTTTCTTCTCCAGAACTGTGGGAACTCCCAAGAGAATGCTTTCCAAACCACAAGAATATTAACCTCTTTATGTCTAGTGTCAACCACTATCTATCCTATATATCCTCATAACATGCACTTCTTATTTCCTCCCTTTGTGTATTTCTAACAACCTCATAAGAAGAATTAAATAAAAAAATAGACAGAAATACTTATTAAAAATTAATAATGATCTTAAATGACAGTGATCAGAACAATAGTGGTTAACAAGTATCAAAGTTAAATGGTGAATGAAAATTTGATATATATGGCAATGACTTGTTAATAGCTAAGCAGATATTGTTTGATGCTGTAATGTTTCTACAGAATTAGTGTTGGTGTATTGACTCTGCTCCAAAAGAGAAGGCAATTGATCTCTCCTCTGAGCAAGCCCTGCAGCCCAACAGGGGAAGGACTGGCCTGTAACATTGAATACCTCTAAAACCAAACTAGCAACAGTCCACCATCGCCAAGCAGAACTTTCTCCTATCATTATAAAGAGTTGTTTTATCAAGAAAGCTCATTGGCTTGAATGGCTAATGGGACTCAAACTTACCTAGACATCAAGTGGAACACATGTATACCATCCATCACTAAAGAGGCTGAAAAAATAGTCAGTTCCTTATACGACTACAGAAAGTACATGATTCCTCCTGCTATGCTTTATCTTTATAAAGAGCAATATCAGACCAAACATGGAGTATTGCTGCCATATCTGGCTGGAGCTGCCCAGTCCTCACTTGCCAGTTTGATAAAGTTCAACAGCATCTACACATCCTTGCAGGTTATTTTCCACTGTACAACCCCCTTTCTAACAGACAAAACATCACAAGCCTCTTGCTACTTTATTTCCATGGCAAATGTTCTAACGGACTCCATTCCTTTTCTCCATCAGTTCAAACATTTGCAGCTAGGACATGTCATGCTCCCTTCACTGGGACAAATCATCTTTATTTTCTTCATATTCCATTAGTAAGGAGGAAGTTCCACTTGGGCAGATTCTTCCCAAGAGTTATTACTTTGTGGAACAGACTCCTGGGAAGATGCTTTCTTTAACATTACAATCTTAGCATCTTCAAGTTTAGGGTTAACTGATATCTCTCCTACATAACCTCATAAACCCTGCTTCTTACCTCCACTTCTTACACTCGTAAAACATCATTCAGTAACCCTTTACCTTGAGTGGCTTTTGGGCCTTATATTGTGTGAATATTAGTAAAACAAAATGTCTGTTTTGATATAACTGCACAAGATGAGGTCTGAAGTGAAATATAAAACATTTAACTGTTTCAACTTGTTTTTGTTTTTTTCACTTTATATACATTGTAAATGGACTTTTTACCAATACTGATCATGTTGCAAAAGAAATGGTGAATGCAAATTGATGAGAGGAAGAGGAACTGATCTTCTAGATTGAATTCAAACAACCTGGGAGGTGATTTGGAATAGGATAAAAGAGGAATCTAACTTACCTGTGGCTTGATTTTAATGGAAACTTTTCAAATTTAGTAGATTTGGGGCTGACTACAGTACTTGATTTTTGATGGTCTGCCAAAGAAGCATGTATATTGTAGCCAGACAACTTTTTAAGAACATTTCGGAATGATTCCCTTGTCTTATTAGAGCTGCAGATGAAAAGAAAGAAAAAAAAAAGTCAAGAAAATAAGTTAAAACATTAAAAAAAAAAATAAAACAATCTCATAAAATTAAGCAAAAATAACTTTAAAAACATGTGTAAGATTGCTTGAGAAGACAACCTCTTTTGGCAATCATATGCAATTAGTATTGCCAACATTGCTTCACAAGAAACCCATAATTATTTTTTTCCTTCCTGATAGGAAATTTAAGCTTTTTATTTTCATAGAAATTTGTTCTGATACAGAATACGCCTCATATATATATATATATATATATATATATATATATATATATTCTCTCTTGTTATAGTAATTGAAAAATCATGGAAACCAAGATATATTTTGTGATAACACTTTTCACCCTTGACGACTTCACTCTTGATTTTATTCACTTCCATTGTTTATTGTCTAATTTTACCATTTCTGAGAATTACAAAGTCTTCAACATTCACTCCTTCCTTGTGTGTACTGCTCCCCTCATCCAGTGATTATCAGGTCCAGAAAAAAACAAAAAAAAATCTGTATTAACTTGTTTTGTATTTACAGAACATTCATATTTCTTTCCTTGTTTTTTTTTTTTTTAATCATTTCATCCCAAACAAGTCAATAAAGCTACCAATGCACAAGGGTTCATGGAGTGAATAAAAAAAGAAAAACATTATTAAGGAGTAAGAACAATAAAAGAACAGGAATCAAAAAGACAGAAGATAACAATTGACAAGGCATTTAAATTCTTGAAGATCAAATTGACTAGGAAGTAAGAAGCCCAAAGAGTGTTCCACAGGTGAGAAGTGTGAGAGAAGTAACTGGTTGCAAGAAAGAAATACGACAACGGCAGAAATAGGTTTACGTGGTTTATTTCAACAGGAACGTGAGGGTTTGGGACAGCTACCTTGTGGTAAAGTTCATAAGCTGGCTTCAGATCTAGGTCGATCTCATAGTAGTTCACACATGTTGATGGTAGTTGATGCTCTCCTGTTGTCAGCTGCTGACCGCTCGGCCTGGCCACCTGCTGACTGCCCATTGAACTTCCGTGTGACCCCTTTTATAGCATTTTTTATGGCTTAACAGGCTTGAAAAATGAAGCGAGTATAATTGGGAGGGAAGCATTTTTATCGGACAAAAAATAGAACACTTTAAATATTATTTTATTTTTCGACTGGAACACGTGTGTTGGGAACATTTGTAAATGAAGATGATCATTTTGTGACGGGGTTTTGTCCCGTTCACATCCGGTTCTCGCTCTTGAGTATTTGCCTGTAAATCAGCCAAGATATGTCTTATTTTATTTTATAACATTAGCATAAAACTTATGGTTACATCTAGCCATTTCAAGTGTAAAATGATGAGCCCTTGCTGCCAATCTAGTACTGCATTTAAATTTGTAAAGTCTAAGTACCATAGAGGAAAATTCATCAGAACAATTACCATGAAAGCATTTATAGAAAAGGCAAAAGAAATTACATTACAGGCAGTCAGAAAGGGACTGAAGTTGAGATGCCAGGTCAGGACCTATAACAGTGCAGATTCTTCTTTGTATTTTATCAAGAATATCTGAATGTATAGCACAAGCCCCATAACAGATGTGGCAGCTAATATTCAAAGCAAAGACAAATGATAGACTTATAAATATGTAAGACAGATTCTGGTAAGAAAAACTTTCTAATCAAAAAGAATGAACCAACTTTCCTAGTAGCAGACCTAACAATTGATTCGATATAATCTTTCCATTTTATGTCTGTAGGAAACATTAGTCTGAGAAAACACAATTAGACACTCTCCTGGAAATTAGTGTTATGGACCCAGAATATGTCCGAAAGAAAACTCAAGCTCAGCAATTTAGTGAAAACATATTATTAACAAAAAGAACAAATACAAAAGTGTTGCACGTCCGACTGACGGCAAAGTACAGTAGTCAACTCGTCAACTGTAGACAGCTCTCTTGAGAGGCATAATCTCCCCGTATATATAGTAATGGGATGAGTCCATTTAGTCCATAAAGGTAGGTCCTGTAACAATTAGCATCAGACATACTGATGGAAGGCAAAAAGGTTCCCTCAGATGATTAAAAGAAAGCAGTTTTGTTTCAATTCCAAGCCATTTTATACCCTAGTCAACTATTTCCTGAGGAGTGGAAGAGATTTGTTGAAAAGTTGATATTTTCATTTTTTAATCTTTTTACAAAAAATTAGACACTGAAATGTTTAATTCATCAAAAATTGTATGAAAATAAATTATTTGCTATTCTATTGATTTATGTGAATCATTATTTTTTAACTTGATTTGATTGATTTCTATTATTTTTTCTTACATTTGTCATATTAAATGAAATTATTTCTTAGATTAAGTCTTGTTAATTAGTAATTTTTAATAAATATTTCTTTCATATTTCTGATGCTTTAACAGAATTAAATCTAATGTTCAAATTTCTAAGATGAAGAATTGTCGATAAATACTTTCTGACTTCTATTTCTTTCATTTTTGTTGCTTTTTATTACACAAACAGCATTAGAAATAATTGTGTCCAAATTTCTAAGATGAAATTATTCTTGAATTTTAATAATTACTAGCAGGAGAACTCAGTGTTGCCCGGGGATGTAACAGTAAAGAGATAGATCAAATATCAACCATCATAAAGACTGAAAAATAAAACTGACAAAGATTATTGTTTAAGGTTGACGGACATGCATGTCTTAATTAGTTTTATTTTTTTTTATTTTTATTTTTTTTTACGAGTTGGTCAAACCCAAACTCAAACAAAAACATTGTTTTCAATCGTTATGAGTCTACCGATTGAATAGAATTTTATTATAAACAATTGTCTTGTAAATGGAATTTTTAAAACATTCTGAATGTAAAAATAAAGAAAAAAGTGTGCAAGACAATAAGAGACACTACCTGCCAAAAAAAAGTGAAGTTTTGTTGAAATCGGTTGAAAAATGTAGGAAATCTGATCCCATATATAAATGAACACACACACACAAACAACCAACCTGGGTTTTATAAGTATAACTCGATATTAATAAGTATAACTCGATATGAGTTGTCCCCCTTTCATTAATGCCTCTTAATCGCGTTTTCAAATTGATTTCATGCAAAAACAATTGTGTTTTTTCAGTTTTTGGTACTGTCAGAACCACTGCAAGGTAATTTTACGTAGTCCTGTGAAGTTTTGTTGAAATCGGTTGAAAAATGTAGGAAATCTGATCCAATATATAAATGTACAGACACACACACACAATCTGCGTTTTATAATAAGTAAGATTTCTTTCATTTTATTTCAGCTGCTTTTTATAACATAATATTGAATGCAATGAAGCTGCTTTTTTTTGCTTTAGATGAAAACTTGTCAGTTATTAACTTTTGACATTTCTTTCATCATAAGGAAACATTTTCATTTTTTGAACAAAAGACCGTCATTTTGCAATGATTACTAAACAGCATATCTGAGAATACCAAACATGTGAGCAATGACGAAGTTCTAGAGCAGGGGTTTCCAACCAATTTTGGGCCATACCCCACTTTGGTATTTCTAAAATTCTGCTGCTCCTTGTAATATTTAATTCTTACATATTCAAAATTTTACTGCAATTTACATGAAGGAAGTAAACTGAATGCTCACACACACTGATTGTCCGACAAAACGTGGGCTCCTCCAGCGACACGCATCACAACCTCTCCTTTATTGACCGAGACATGTGAGTGTGGGGAGATGGGAAATACCCTGTATACCAATTACACATGTACGTACATACACACAAAATATTCTTATGTATGCATACTGTATATGCATCATATGTACTAACATGCATTAACATTAACACTTTCACTCAGACTCACTAGAAAATAATTCACTGTTAATAACTCATTCTCAAATTGTCCCCTTATTCTGTTGGTATATTAAGCCGAAGGGTGCACATCCTACACATGCCCCACCAAAATATTACCATGCTCCCCACTTTGGGAATCATTGTTCGAGAGGCAACAGCAACAAAAAGGACACTTATACTTAACATCAGGAAGAGGCAGTTGAGGTTTCTGGGATACATAATGAGGAAAGAAGGCTTGAAAAATTTGATACTCACAGGACAGATTGAAGACAAGAGAGACAGAGGAAAGCAACTCAAAACCTACCTGGTGAGATTGAGTGAATAGATAACAGATCAAGGGATGAGAGAAATGACAAAAAGACAAAAGTTATTAAGAGCTACAACAGACAGGAAATTGTGGAGACCCATGATCACCAACAGAACACATAGAAGTAGTAGTAAACAGTAGAGATCTTTTTTTGGAATATTTTTGCATATTAGAATTCACCCAATATAAGGCTTGAGAGCAACTCGTTAGAGGCTTACAGTGAAAACAGTAATGATGAATATGTTGTGTGAAATGAATGAAAGACATGGTAGGAAGTGAAGGTTGGAAAGATAAAGATTGACCCATGTAGAGGTTAAGATCATTGTGTTCAGGGAAGCAACCATGTGGGAGGAAAGAAATAATGATTAAAATTCAAGAATAATTAACAATGCTTCACCTTAGAAATTTGAACACAAGAGTGGCAGTCCTTGAGGAAAAAGTTGTTGGAAGTGAACTTTCTTTTAGATTTGGAACATGGAGGAAATGATGGTGACTCAACTCCATGGAAATGGCATGGTATGTCCTAGCTGCAAAGGCCTGAACTGGTGGAACTAGAGAATAGAGCTTATCTGAATATCTGCCATGGAAATAGGATCAGAAATAAGGAATTCTCATACTCGGATGAGATTTAAACTCTTTTTCAAGGTTAAAGCTTCATTTCTGATCTTAAAATTAATAATAATTTGTCTATTTAATCTGTAAAATTTCTAAAATTGATTTTTGAATATTAGTATTATTCACCCTGTTTCCATTGAATCCAAATACACACTGCCCAGCCCAGGGATAGAACTAACAATTACTATGTCACTAATTTCTCAAACGAATGCATGACAAGTATCAGTACTCATAAT